ATAATTTGTATTTTCAATTTTCTTTTTCATTTCTAACTTTTAACTTTGTAATTTTAAAATCCCAATAAAATACTATTAAAAAAAATAATAATTGGAGGAACCAGGAGAATAATTTGAGATTCAAACAATTCAAACAAAAAAGATTCAAGGTGCCAAACAGGGAAAAAAGAGAAAAGGAGGGACAGTAAGTATGTAATCCTGCATTTTAAGAAGCAAACAAGGTTGTGTTAAAGAGCTGTCCCAAAGAAGATCATGCTTTTTGTGTGCTTTTTGTGAGGTTAGAGATATTTTCTCTATATCTTCTTCTATCTTCTATATTCTTCCTCTATATTTTCTTCTTTTATGCTGTACTATTTATGTTTTTATTGGTTTTAACTGTTTGGTTGTGAACCACCCGGAGTCCCTCCTTGTGGGGGAGTTGGGCAGGAGTTGGGCGGTGATATAAATTTGATTTATAAAAAAATAAATATTATTCATGGAACTCCACCAAGCCAGTGGCCAGGAGCAGGAACTTCCTAGCCGTAATACCACTTTCCATGATGACCTCTTGGAAAGGTGCTTTGGACTGGGAACAAAGCTCCCTCCCCAGGTGTAAGTCTGAGATGTCACCCAAAGTCATCCTAAGAATGTTCAGCATCCCCATTACTTATTTCCTTCTCTTTTCTTTTTCACAGGTAGCTCGGCAGTCTCCAAACTCCTACGTTGTCATCATGAATGGTTCCTGTGTGGAGGTTGATGTTCACCGGCTAAGTGATGGAGGTCTCCTTTTGTCCTATGATGGGAGTAGCTACACCACCTATATGAAAGAAGAGGTGGACAGGTAACCTTTGATGCTTCAAGAGATGCTTGCAAGCAGAGGAGCAGAACCCAGTATGCCATCCTTTAAAACCTTGAGTGTGGTCCTCAAAAGGTCCTTAAACTTCATAACATTTGATGTGACAAAAGGGGGAAATTATTCAGTCCAACTAGCTATATTTAACTTTATTAGCTATACTAACTATATTTAGCTTTAAAATCAAATGAAACGGAATCAAATTTACTTGCAAATTGCTACTTAAGAGGCATTAATAATCAAGCCTAAGCACATATACACCCATGCATGTGTATAAATATGTAATTCATTTTTTAAAAATTATGCACCGATGAAATTTGACACCTCCAGTCTGTACAAACAAATGTCCATTAAGTAACCTTCCTTTCCTATAGACTTACTATCAGGAACTTAATTAAGGGGAAAGACAAGGCAATCGGTAGGATGGAGGGATAATACTGGGTGCTCGATGTTTCTGCTGAGGGTCCCCAGAACACTGCAGATTGGCATGATTGCAAATAAGTGTGTAGGTTTTGGCTGTCTTGGATCTACTCCCACCCCCTCGAGTTGAAGATGCAATTAATGAGTGAGTGTGGAGCATAGTACCAAGCCCAAAGTAGAGCTGTGCTCCAGCTGTAGCTGACAACCATATACCTTCTGCCCCAAGGTCAAATCCTGGATTCTTTTTGAGAACGCTAACCAAGATAAGGAAGACACACAGCCTATAAGGGAGGGACCATATCTCTGCAGCCAAGCCTGTAGAAGGCTGCAGCTTCAGTCCTTAGCAACTTGAGTTTAATGAAATCAGGTGAAAGGAAAAGTCAGGCCTCTCCTGGGTAGCAAGACTAAATACTTGCAGGAGTGTATTTCCCAAGATGCAAAGGCACAAAGGAGATTTATTGTAATGAAACTATGAAGCTGTTAGGAAAAAATTCCAGTGACTGCTGTGTATTAAATGCAAGCTCTATTTATACTGCAGTCGAGTGTTGGATTTCTTGCACTTCTTTCTCCTAACTGCTCTGAGTAAAGGGCTTGAAGTGATTCTCTTTGGGGTGGAAGGTCCAGTTTCCATGTGTTCCTTGTTCTTCTAATAGCCTGACCTAGTATCAGGTTGTGACTGTGTGAACACTAATTTTCACAAGAACTTTCCCCAGCCCCCTGGAGAGCTACAACCATCAGTGTCCACCAAGGGGGTAAAAAAAGATCAAGATGGTGGCTATGGCTTCATATGGAGGGTTGGGTCTTGGATCACATGGTCACAACAACCATCTTAACAACAGCTGATGGTTTAGCCCCTAGCCACAACTGTGACCATAAACAGTTGATATGGGTAGGCTGCTCTGACTGAAGGTAGATTCCCATGCTCTGGACCGAAATGTTAGATTATATAATTCATAGATGTTCTATATGGCCTTCTAGGCAGGTCTGTTGGGTCTCAGTTCCGGTGAGTCAGCAGTGAATGAAGCTCTTTTGCTCCTTTTGCCCCAAAATATCTGTTCTCTTCAGGATCCCTTGTCCTTTATTGCTGATATCCCCCCATTGCAGAAATCTCCATTTGCAAAAAAAGTTTATTCCTACCTGTATTCACCAATTAACTAGACTTAAAGAATGAAGCAAGGTGGGACCCCTAAAAATCATTAACATTGCTTTTCCTAGGATTACAGACTTCTCATTGTTAATGGATTGTTACCCTATAAGCAAAATTTCTATCAGCCAATCAGATACAACAAGCTTCACATTCCCCTTCTTAGACTCCTGTCGGCCCCCTTTTATCTTATCTCTAGACGTTTAGGAATCTTCCCCTCTATGTGCCTTTAATCTTGCTCAGGAAAATTCCGCAACGCCCTGCCCCCTCCCACATAAAAATCCAAGGTTCCCCAGGATGCATGCTGGGAAAATACTCTTCTCCTCAAATTGATCCCCCCCCCTTTTATCTTCTGAGCTTAAGGTCCCCTCCTGAAGTGAATGTTATTGGACAAGTGTCCGGATGACCCATTGTCTAATCTTTAGTTGTGACCACAACCCATCTCCTCCAGGCATTTTTGCAGGCTACTTTTTGTACCTTCTGGCTTCTCCTGCTTAGGTATCGTATCACCATCGGCAATAAAACCTGTGTATTTGAGAAGGAAAACGACCCGTCGATCCTGCGGTCACCGTCAGCTGGGAAGCTCATCCAATATGTGGTGGAAGATGGTGGACATGTCTTTGCTGGACAATGTTTTGGGGAAATCGAGGTAAAAAAGCGCGTGGGCCTGTTAAGCTGGCCTTCCTGGAAAGACCTTGTGTTAAGAAGAGATAGAGCCACACACAGGCACACAAACACCGTTTCCATCTACGTATTTATTCAATCTTCCTCTTAATCAGAGTGAGATTGATTTTGGTTTAGATTAATTTTATTAATAAAAAAAATAGCAGTTTAAAAATAAAACTGAGCAATTGATTAATGTTTTAATGCAAACGCTTATAAATACAACTTAAGCATTTTTCCCCTCCAGAACCATTCTATTTGTATAGATGGATTTAATCAATTAAGGAGATCCCCAGATTTCTTTTCCCTTTTTCCCCATTGCCTTTTAAAGTGTTTTGTAAATGCACAAATACATCACGAAGACCCCAAACACACCGAATATGTACATTGAAACCTGCAAGTTATTCCATTCACCCTGTGTCATCACAGACACCTTGACTTAAAAGATTAAAAGCGCCTGTTGTAAGTCTAGATTCAAAAAGAGATCTTCATCATCCCATTACAAGCGAATACATTTCTGATGTATTGAATTTCTGGTACCAAACTCTCCCCTGCTAATATGTATTTTTAGTATATTTTTCAAGCTTTGTAATCTCAGATATTTTACTTGCATTCTGTGAGTTATTAGATGCCCTGTTCCCTAAACTAGCAAGCATAATTTTTGTCTGTGCTAATTATAGGTCAAGGAGGCTTCTTTCAAGGAATAACCATTTTCATGTAATCAGTACCGTGGATCAAGGTCCAGTTTGAACGGAAAACGTCTAATGCAGATTTTCTTTAATCTATCAGCAGCCCTGCTTCTGTAGCACCCGGATCCAAGGGTGGTCATATCTTTAATAAACTTTCTATATCTACCCTACTCTTCATGCTTAAATGAGACATAATACCTGGTCCGTGCAGTTTGTTAATAGGAATTACCAATGGAGGCGCTGAGAAACGGGCTGGACCTCCACAGGGCCGTGAAGGCAGGGAAGCCTCAAGAAGTCACCTGCTCAACCCGGTCTTTCCCTATTTTCAGGTGATGAAGATGGTAATGACGCTCACGGCGGCCGAATCGGGCTGCATCCATTATGTGAAGCGCCCTGGGGCAGCCCTCGAACCTGGGTGTGTAATTGCTAAACTGCAGCTGGATGACCCAAGCCGAGTTCAACAGGTAAATTTGGGGATTTGGACATAATAACCATCACTTCACAGAACTAGTTTGGCTTCTGATGACACCTGTCGTTTTCTTTCATCTTCTGACGGGGGGAGGAGGGGGGTATTTCTCCAGTCTGACCTGTGATTTCCTGGTGGTCTCCCATCCAAGCACTAACCAGCTCCAGCCTTGGTTAGCTTTTTGAGACTGGGCAAGGTCAGCTAGCTGCTGATGCTACTTGTTGGGCCCACAAATTCTTGGCAGGTTTTAAATGGTCATAACGAAGAGGATGAAAAAATGGATCTAAGGTCCCACCAGAATGGTTTTGAGGACTCTCATAGTTTTGCCTCATAGTTGGTAGGAGTCTTTTTGTATTTTTCTTGTGTTTGGGTAGTTCTACGGCATTGTTTCCCATCCTGAGCAACTTTGAGATGTGTGGATTTCAACTCCCAGAATTCCCCAACCAGCATGACCACTGCTAAAAATTCAGAGAGTTGAAGTCTCCACACATCTCAGAGTTGCCCAGGCTGGGAAGCACTGTTTTAAGGAGAAAAGTAGAAAGCTACTGTGATGTAGAGGTTAAGGACTTGGACCAGAGCTGGGAAGATCCAGGTTCAAGCCCACTTAGGACTTCAGGTCAGTCATGATCTCTCAGCCCAGGTCTATCTCACAGGGTTGTTGTTGTGGAGAAAAAAATGACAGGAGACCCCATGGAAGCTGCTTTGAAGTCCTGGAGAAAAGGAATAGCAAGGGCTCTAGTTCAACTAGAGAATGAGGCAGAAGCAAGGCGTGATTGTGGGAGTGTGAATGCCCCCATCCTTACAGAACGGTTGATGGCAGGAAGCTTCTTCTAGAATGAAGGAGACCGGCAATGAATCCCATCTCAGAGAGGCAGATCAACCTTTGGTGGAACTATTTAACTCTAGGAAATACTTTCTTCAGGCAGAAGATCTCAGAAAGTTGTCTCTTTTGAAATAAAGCAGATGATTTGATCGGTCCAACTCTCACAGCACTGGCTCCATTGTGTTTTTATTGTCCTCTCAAGGCTGAACTCCATATGGGAACCTTGCCCCAGATTCAGAGCACAGCACTCCGGGGTGAGAAGCTCCACCGGATCTTCCATTATGTCTTTGACAACCTGCTCAACGTGATGAATGGGTACTGTCTTCCAGAACCCTTTTTCACCAGCAAGGTATGAAAATTTTTCACCGTAGCCTGTCTTAATGGCTTATGCTAGACTTTCCACCCTGGTGGCTTCCAGATGTGTCAACTCTAAAGAATTCCCAGCCAATTAACCTTACGTGTTTAGTTCCAACGCATCTGGAGAGCATCACCCTAGGTCAGTATTTCTCAATCTTAGCAGCTTTCAGATGTGTGGACTCCAACTCTCAGAATATGTGTTTCTCAACCTCCGCAAATGTGAGCTATGTGGACTTCAACTTCACACATGGAGTCCACACATCTGAAAGCAGCCAAGGTTGAAAAAAAATCTGCCCTAGGCTAATGCTGCTTTATGCTACACACTCTTTACTTTCCCTACATCATTACAACCTCCTGGGATAGTAGATGAGCAACCCAATGTTGGGTGAGGGCCCTGTATCCGAGCAATTTGCCATAATCTTAGGAGATTGTGAATTCTTGCGAAATTTTGAGAGAAATTTTATTTTATTTATTTATATTTCAAATTTGTCACTGCCCGTCTCACTGCACAGTGAGTCTGGGCAGTTTACTGTAAAAACAATAAATATTAATTAAAATAGAATAAATATGAATTAAAATACATTACAAGAAGACTTCCTATATAAATAATAAATATCTTCCAAGGAGATTGGAAGATTCAGGGAGTGTCTTCAAGGTGCTAGCCACTCCGAGGGCTGGTTATATTCCCTCTCGCCCCACGCAAGTTGGCAGAGCCAGCTCTTCTCCCCTTTCCGGAAGAGGGGGGACCCTCCTCACCTCTGGGGGGAGAGTGTTCCATAGGGTGGAGACAACGGGAGAGAATGCTCTCCTCCTGGGCCCCACCAGTCGACATTCTTTCATAGACGGGGTCCGTAATATCCCTTCTCTGCCTGACCAGGTGGGACGGGTTGACGTAATGGGGATGAGACATGCACATAATTACAAGATTATGGCAGGTTGGCAGGCCTAGGGAGGCATCCTTTCTTCTTAGCTCTGCTCTGTTAGAGTAAGTTTTGCAAATATTAATTTTGGGCATTGTGAAGCGTTTGCAAATGGAGCATATTAGCTGCAACATTATGAAGGTAGAGAGAATTTTTTCAGAGCGGCTTCTGGTTTAAAAAAAAAAAGGGGAAAAAATACAATTCCCAAAGGGGTTTTGTTTGTTTGTTTTGGAACCTATGATGGTTAAACTGGACATGAAACCAGTTTCAGTGTGTCGTGTGAAGACGCCTATAGAAAGCAAACTTGTTTGCCTCTTACCCTGACTTGCTTTTAACTCCACTGCTAACTCAGGTGAAGAACTGGGTTGAACGGTTAATGAAGACTCTTCGGGACCCATCCTTGCCTCTCCTGGAGCTTCAGGATATCATGACCAGTGTCTCTGGGCGGATCCCCCCCAATGTGGAAAAATCCATCAAAAAGGAAATGGCGCAATATGCAAGTAACATCACATCTGTCCTCTGCCAGTTCCCCAGCCAACAGGTAGGGAACATTTTGCCTGTGATCTGGGCTGAAACTGGAATGTTACTGGCCAGAAAGTGGTTGGGTGGAAGAATAATATCCTTGGTTGTGAGAGATGGTGGGGAGGAGGGCAGAAGTGAACAATGAAGGAGAAGAAGGCGAGGCTGTTAGCAGCTTATCTCAAAAATGGCAACTCAGCCCAGGTGGCAAGAAATCTGGGAAGAAATGTTTTACATCATTCAAAGAGACTCCACCTTAGCAGACTCACCATGAAGGAGGCTGGGAAATTTCTGTTCCTATTTCCAAGATTCTCTATTTTCTCCAGAGTAGCACTAAAAAGAACTCTGCGGCTGAACTCTGCGGCTTCTTTGATCTCACACAGAAGTGTAGAGTTGACATGGGTGGGACCGAAAGACGTCTGAAGCCCACCTTCTATTGCAAGGGGTGGAATTAACATTTCTCCGTTGGTTCCACCTTTTGATGATCAGAACGGTATTTCACTTGAAGTCTGACTACCCTGTCTGAGGTTAACCAGGGTCCAATACGTGCAGTTAAAGAAGGACATACAGATTTTAAACCTTTGGGATTTCTGCCCAGAAAAACATCTGTATAGGCATTGTTAATCTATCAGGAAGTAGTTTGTTAACCAATATAAAAATGGAACCAAATCTGAATAATTTAATTGCCTTTTTTTCATACAAAGCTGCCTGTTCATTAAGGAACCGTTTCTAAGAACCCCCAGTTTTGAAGATTAAGCAGACAGCAAGTAGAAATGGGGTTTCATTCCCAGCAACTCCCTTGATGCAGAACAGCTTCCCTGAACTATTTAATATAAAGCTCTTATGTTTTGTTTTATATTATAATGTGTTAATATCCAACGTGTAAACAGAAATTTATCAGGCTATGAAAATCTTAATAATCTCTAGATATGTACAGTAATGAATAAATATTACTAACCTAATCCCAACTTTATTAATTAAAAAAACCCCTTTCTCTAATTTTGAGTTCTGTTTCCCCAGGATTTCTCACTATAACTTGCTATTGTTCAACTTCTTTATTCACTATTTTACTGAATCCTGATGACTTTCAGGATTAAATCCCAGGATTCTGTGCCAGCATGGGAAATGACAGTGTTGATTGGGAGTGATGGGAACCGTAATCCTTGGCAATTCTCCAATCTATTACCTTTTGAAAATCATGTTGATGAAGAAGATCTGCATAGAAATATTTATTTTGAATAATGATATTCTGTCAATCACGGGTAGAGAGAAATAAGCAGGTTGGGTGACTTTGAGCCAGTCATTCTTTCTCAGCCCCACCTGTCCACCTAACAAGGTTGTTGTTGCAGGTAAAATAGGAGGAAGGATCATTAGGTATATATGCTGCCTGGAATTGGCCAAAAATAAAAGTGGGATAAAAACCAAATACAGGTAGTCCTTGTTTAACATCCACTTGTTCAGCGACCATTCGAAGTTACAACAATACTTATGATAGGTCCTGGTACTTGTGGCTGTCGCAGCATCCCCACGGCCATGTGATCACAATTCTGATCCTCGGCAACTGGCTCACGATTACAACATCACAGAGTCCTGCATTCATGTGATCGCCATTTGTGGCCTTCACTGCCAGCTTCCAAGAAGCAAAGTCAGTGGAGAAGCTGGTAAGAGGTCACAAATGGTGATCATGTGATTGCGGGATGCTGTGTGGGATTCACCTAATGATGGCAACTGGGACTGCCAGAACTGCCAACATAAGTTGGCACAGTCACGTGTCACTTAGTGATGGAGTTCCTGGTCACAATTACTGTTGGTGTACAGGTAGTCCTCATTTAGTGAAAGCCTCGTTTAGTGACCGTTCACAGTTACAACAGTGATGAAAAAGTAACTTTGCGACCAATCTGCGCATTTACAACGTTTGCAGGTCTGTAAGGCCAAAGAAAGCAGAAGGAAGATCATAAGTACAGTCGCAGTTTCACTTAGCAACTGCTTTGCTTAACGACTGAGTTGCCAGTCCCAATTGTGGTCACTAAACAAGGACTTTCTGTAATTAAATAAGCAAACAAGCAAAACATGTTCTCCTCAATATCTTCTTTGTTCCTGACTTTAATGTTGGAAATCAAGCCAGTTATTTTTGCAGCCTTACAGGGCTAGAAATTTGCTCTTTTGAAAAAGAAAGCTGCATGTACTAAATTGAGCTAGCTGGGGAATTCTGGGAATTGAAGTCCACACAGCTCAAAGTTGCCAAGCTTGAGAAACCCTGCATTAAATTGTGATTATGTGGTGTCAGAGTCTGTCTGTATGTTGTCTGTGCCCCCCGCCCCCCGTTTTCAGTCAAGCCCAAAAACTCTGATGGTGTCAATCAAAGTTTGCTTCTTTTCTTCCTGCAGATCGCCAATATTCTAGACAGTCACGCAGCCACCTTAAACCGCAAATCGGAGCGTGAGGTTTTTTTCATGAACACTCAGAGTATTGTGCAGCTGGTTCAAAGGTGAGTGTCATTGCAGAAGCGCACCCCGGCAAAATCTGAAAGGGGAGGCCAAATGATAGGCCTCTTTGTGCTAGGATCCAACCCCCCCCAATAAATGAAGTTAAGGGCCTACTCCTGAAACACCTGAAAGGTAGAGTTATAACATCTGGGGGGGGAAGTCCAGAACCGCTGGATTCTTAGGGAAGTCCACCTTGTTGTGAGTCTGGCCTCCACGGCTTCAGAGTGTGCACTGTCATCAGGGTTAAAACAACCACTATGAATGAAGATCCTGCAAGTGTGCTTGCAATACAACCATGATTTCGAAGATTATCCGCTTCGGTATTTTCATTTGAGCGGTTTGTTGCAGATACCGAAGTGGCATCCGAGGTCACATGAAGGCGGTGGTGATGGATTTGCTCCGGCAATACCTAAAGGTGGAAACTCAGTTCCAACACGGTGGGTCATATCAATTCAGGATCTGAATTTTAGAACCAGGGTGG